TGATGGAAAACGATGGGGGGTGGAGGAATAATTAGTATAGGGCTTGGGGCTACAGTGCTGTCGAATTTTGAAGAGGGCTCCCAAGGAACATGCTCGGTAAGTAATGATTAAGCTTCATTATCGTCCGAAACCCAAAGAACCCCCAGCTACTGCAACAGGAAGAGTTAGGTTACAGTAGGGAGCTTGAAGAATTACTGTCCTTGGTCTCATTAAACCATTGAGACGCTTTTCCTAATCCCGAATCCTAAACCTAAACCCTAAACCCCAAACCCCAAACCCTAAACCCTAACCCTAAACCCTAAATCCTAGAATCCTCAACCAACACACCACTGTGCCCTCCGCGAGGCCTGGCCCGGGCGCGGTGCCGGTGGGCCTGGCAGAGGTGCAAACCCAAGATAGAAGTTACAATTGGGGTACTCTATGCTCTTGCTATATATACACTACCTAGACCCTGAAGAACCTACCCTTTTTATTGATTTGTCTAAAGAAATCATGTAATAAGGAGCCCTCCAAAGGTAGGTTCTTTAGGGTCTAGGTCGGGCGACAAGAAAACCTCGACGCAGCACACAACAAGCAGAGCAGTGAGCTCAGAAACCCCAAACTCCAAGGTTGAAACCATGGGCCCCCTAGTATGGGCCCTTAACCCTGGGATCATCTTACACCTACTATATACCCTATATGTACCCTAAAGGGTCCCTAGAAAGCCCTAAGGGTCCATAGTAGGGGACCATACTTCCCTAAACCCTAAACCCTAAACCCTGAACCCTAGATCCTAAACCCTAAGGGTCCATATTAGGGGCCCATACTTCGAACCTTAGACAAACCCTCATAACCCCGATCTGCCTCGAGCTGCCAGGGACACCGCGAGAGCGGGCCCGCTCGCAGGGCGGAGCGGCTCCTCCTCTACCCATAGGCCCCATAGTAGTGAAGAGATTGCGGGTGTTTAGGTTTAGGGTTTAGGGTTTAGGGGTTTAGGGTTTCGGGTTTAGGGTTTAGGGGTTTGGGTTTGAGGTTCAGGGTTCTTGACTTTACCCAGGCCCCATAGTAGTTCCTTTTTGGGATTCCCTTATAGGATTCTAAATATGAATCTAGGGGCCTAGATAATTACCTACACTATTTTTTGGGGGTTCCTATCATATACCCCAAAACCTTGTAATACAGAGGCCT